TAAATAGGCTTATGTTCGTTTTGATGGAAGTATAGCTGAAGCATCTCCTGCAGACGCAAGGGGGCACATAGGTAAGGAAGGAAAGGAGGAGCATTTCATTTTTTTTTAATCCTATGCATCTTTGAAAGGGGGCACATAGGCACATTGGCATGGAGTATTTCTTTTTTAATTCAAATGAACCAAAGCCCTAGCTGATGCAGGAGATAATGAGAATGGCAGTCCAGGACACCTGGAAATGGCTGGGTTGGGGAATGCTGGACTAGACCAAAGTTTCTTAAACTTTTCTGCTTGCGGCCATTTTCGGCTGATTTCCCTTTCTATAATAATTTTATTTCTTCCCCGCCTCTCCATGTTCCAACATAGCGAAACACACGTGTTCTACATTCTATAAAGTACAGCTGAAGCCCCTTCTGCAGAGTCCACTGTAAACACTACACAACAGATTTGAAGTAGAAGTAGACTGTAGAGTTGTCCTGAAGGACCAAGGTCTTCCTAGAGAGAACATTTCAATCCATGAATGATCTAATCCACAAATGCGTTGGACCAACTTTACTGCTGAGAAACAGCACTTTCCACAATTCCTAGGGACAAACTACAGGCCATCCCTGAGTTGAAAACATCCGACTTACAAATGACACCTAGTTACAAACGGGGCTGAGACAACAGGAAGTGAGAGATAGCTACCCCTCAGAAGGGAAATTCACTCCTGAAAGAGTTATCATGTGAAAGAGGAGTTTCCACTAAAGTTTTATCTCCAATAATAATAATAATAATATTATTATTATTATTATTATTATTATTATTATTATTATTATTATTTTATTTCTTAGCTGCCTCTCCACAGAGATCCTTGTTTTCACAAGAAGCCACATTTTTCAAAATCCAATGATCACATGGAGGTGAAATCTTCTGAATGGGCACAGGCAGCCAAACAAATGCCACAGAGGGGTCCCCCCTTCCCTGTGCCATCCAAAGCTAAAGAATATATACATTTGGCTGGAGTTAATGCTTTAAAAATCTACCTGTTCCGACTTGCATACATGGGTCCCAGGGCCATGCCAGGACACTTTCCACTTCAGAAATGGACACGGTGTATTCAAGGACGTTTGCTCATCATGTGCCATTTTTGAAGGACAAAAGCATGATTCACTTTCAAACCATAAGACCTTCCCTTTCTTTCTACAGAGGCCATTGGTTCTTTTAGTAGACGGGATATCCTTCCATATAGAAAGAACATAGAATCAGAGTTTGGAAGGAACAAACCACAAGGGAGACTTCCCGTTTTGAGTTACTGCAGAAAGAGAAAGGGGATAAATGACATAAAACATTCCATTTCCCATTTTTAAAAAGAATCCCAGAGTTGGGAGAGACTCCCAAGGGCATCCAGTCCAACTCCTGCCTCCTCCCCCCCCCCCCCCCCCCCGGTGCTGTCATTGTTTTCCATTACTCTATCAGTTCAAAGTGTCACTTTTCAAATGGAATGTTGTCTTCAAAAATGAGCTCAAAAGTTAAGGGAAAATAATGGCCGAGATCCTGCCTGAGGACTGCCTAGCGTATGTCTTTGTATGCAGCATGACAACTATTGGGACACAATCCTGTGGAGGACTTGCATCAAACCGAAGTACTCCTATGTTGCAGGAATGAGAATGTCAAACTTGTGGAACACCCCGTCTGCTGTTTAGAAAGCCATCAAAGCCCGATACATAATCAAACCAATGTGCATGCCTCCCAACCTTGGTGTGCTTCAGGACCAATGCATTATGTCCTGGGAGCATCGTATTGGGTGCCAATACGCACCAGGCCCTCTGGCTGGTTTCCCGCTCAGCATCTTCCCCATTTGGTAAAGGCACTCCTTCATGCCTCTGCTATATAGCCGGGGAAACATACTATTGTGTAACTTCAGTGTTCAGAGAGGATTCTGCCAAATGGCTGCAGTCTAGAGTTGTGGCAGAGCCGCCTGCGTGCACATGCCAGACTGAACCACATCTCCAAGATCCCCACAGCCTTCCAACCCACTGCCACAGGGCTTTTCCTTCTGTGCTTTGAGGGGAGTGGTCCTGGCAATGGAGTCAAACTGCAGGACAAAAGATTCCTCCTCCGCATCAGTCAGAGCCAGTGGCAGACTGGTGGTGGCTGTCAGCTGGAGAAGTGGGTCTTCTTTAACATTAAACAATGTGTTACAAATGTTAATGACCTTTTAGAAGCTTAAAAATATATTAAGATGTTCAAATATTATCACCAGGCATTACAGTTTTTTTTAATTTTAATTGTACCTTCTGTGTTTTATCCACTTCTGTGTTTTATTTTAAAAGTAATTTATTGCTTAGAAAATTAAACGATAGCCTTATAGTTGCAGATGGCCCCCCTTTGTCTCCTGGCAACCAATATTTTTAGATCCAGTTTGCCACTGGTAAGAGCTGCTCAGTAGTGGAATACACTGCCTTGCAACATGGAGGAGCTGCCTGCTTCAGAGGTTTCTAAGCAGAGGCAGTACGGCCATCTGTGGGGAAGGATTGGGTGGTGTCATCCTGCCTGGCAGAAAGGGGTGGACTGGATGGCCCCCTGAGGTCTCTTCTGGTTCTAAGAGCCTACCAATCCCCACAGCCCCTGGAGAAGGACCCATGCCTGAGGAAGCAAAGCACCTGTGTGTATATGACCCAAAGAAGAGGCCAGCCAGCATGCGCTATGCAACCCTTGTTGTTAAATGGCTGCATCGCACAAGTCACCCAGGACAGCAACATATGGGCAAAGGTGCAAGACACCTTGACAAGCAGTCCCCAAGTTACAAACATCCGACTCAGAAGGCATGCTGATCAAGTTTGCAGATGACACCAAATTAGGAGGGAGAGCTAATACTCCAGAGGACAGGATCAGAATTCAAAAGGACCTTAACATATTAGAGTTGATTGGCCAAACAAAATGAATTTCAACAAGGACAAATTGAGGATACTTCACTTAGGCAGAAAAAAATAAATGCAAAGATACAGGATGGGTGACACCTGGCTCCACAACCGCCCATGTCAAAAAGATCTTGGAATCTTTGTGGTCAACAAGTTGAACATGAGCCTACAGTGTGATGCAACAGCTAAAAAGCCAATGGGATTTTGGGCTGCATCAAAAGGGGTAGTGTCCAGATCAAGGAAAGTCATGGCACCTCTCTATTCAGCTTTGGTCAGACATCTTTACCTGGAATACTGTGTCCAATTCTGGGCACCACAGTTTAAGAGAGACATTGACTCTTAAGCTGGAAGGTGTTCAGAAGAGGGAGACTAAAAGGATCAAAGGTTTGGAGATCATGAATCCCTCTGAGGAGGAGCGTCTTAAAAGAGCTGGGTCTGTTTAGCCAGCAGAAGAGAAGGCGGAGAGGAGACATGAGAGCAATGCATACATGTGTGAAAGGATGCCTTGAGGAAGAAGGAGCAGACTTATTTTCTGCTGCTCTGGAAACTAGGACTTTGGAGCCATGGGTTCAAATTGCAGGAAAGGACACAAGGAAGAACTTCCTGATTGTAAGGAAGAACACAAGGAAAAACTTCCTGATTGTAAGAAGATCTGTACAGCAGTGGAACTCTGCCTCGGAATGAGGTGGAAGCTCCTTCCTTGGAGGCTTTTAAACAGGCTGGATGGCTATCTGTCGGTGTGCTTTGGTTGTGCATTTACTGCATGGCGGGGGTTGGACTAGATGGCCCATGGAGTCTCTGCCAACTCTATTCTGTGATTCTGAATGTGCAACAGCACACTGCACTAACATAAATTGTATGTTACAGAGGACAAACAGAATAGTGGAAATGTTCTGAATGTGTCAAATACAGGAAAAAAGCCATTGTACTTTGGGCTTTTCCTGCATGGAAGGGGTTGGACTGGATGGCCAATGTGTCTCTTCCAACTCTATTATTCTATGATTCTGTGAAACGATTCATAGTTCTACAATGGGAGTGAGACAACAGAAAGTGAGAGGCATCTGCCCCTCAGAAGGGAAATTTGCTCCTGAAAGAGTTATTCTCATGGGGAAAAGGTGTCTCCACTGAAGCTTTATCCCCAATCCTTGTTTCCACAACAAGCCACATTTTCCAAAATCCAATGATCACAAGGACAGAAAGTGGGGTGAAATCTCCTGAACAGGAACACAGACAGCAAAGGAAACCCCACAGGGGTGTTAACTCTTCCCTATGCAATCCAAAGCTTCTTTATAGATATAGATATGGCTGGAGTTACACTTCGAAATGTTCCTGTTCTGACTTATATGCAAATGCAACTTAAGAACAAACCTATGGAACCTATGTTCATAACTTGGGAACTGCCTGTATATTCACAGCACATACATGCACAATGACCCCACAATGTGCAACTCTGCCTCTACAGATTTCTATTCACTTCTTATACTCTTCCTTTTCCCCAAAGCTGGGGCTCAAGGGGGATTGCCAGATTGTTCTTATTATTAACAACTTTATTTATACTCCACCTTTCTCTGTGGGGACTCAAGGTGGTGAACAATCCCACATTTAGGCAAGTTTTAAAAGCACAATACAAAAGTTAAATAACAATTACATAGTAACAGTGTGGTAAAACATTAAAATACAACACACTTATAATGGATTTTAAAACTCACAGATTTGGTTTTCAAAAGAAAACAAAATTCAGCTCTGCCTCTGACAAGAAGTCCAGCTGTGAGGGGCACCATCAACAGGACTGGCATCAACAAGGACACTGAAAAGTCACTTTTCAAAAATGCAGCATTCACAGAAGTTCCTTCTGTGAATGTTAAATCAAAATTACATAAAATATTTTTGACAAGTATCTTCCCAAGCTCTGGAAAACTATCATTAAATTATATGACAAATATCAGTATTTGGTGATTTTCCAAGAACATTGCTGGAAACTCCATTTGGTAGGATGAGTACTCTGTTGTTACTGACCATAAGAGTTTTCCATTTGGACTACAAAGCCCCCCTCCTGTCAAGCAGCTGCTGTATAACTAAATTACAGAGGAAGATTGGGGGGGGGGGGGGGGATGAGGACAAAAAACTCTAAAGATGCAGCGCATTGCTTTCAAGGGGGAAACCACCCATTATGTAAAGGCAGCCCACCCCACAAAGTCCTTTTGCTCTTTCAAGATGAGAACACTTGACCTGGGACCGTAGTTCGGGGACCGGAATCCACTTCACCTAATGCAAAGAATGTAATTAGGCTCTAATGAGGACGGGACACTTTCTGGGTGGCATGCCTTATACTTTGTTCAAGGCAAAACTTGCCGGCTGCCTTTGTGCTGTGAAGAGCAAAGGGGTGCGCTCTGCCTCTGCTAGTCCAGCCTCAGTCCTTGGCCCCACCTATCCCATTCGGACTTGAGTAGCCTCGTAAAGACCACGTCATTAGACCTGCCCCTTCAGATTAACAAGACAAAATCCAGATGCACAGCATCTTTCTCACAAACCATTCGACTGACAGAGAGAGCGAGAGACCAAGCCCAAGACCTGCACACCAGAAAGGAATCCGCAAGGAACTTTCCGTGCCATCTCCCACCCACAGTGAGTAACTTGGTCCTATTAGCTCTAGTTCCTCCTTTTGATATTGGACTAGAAATATTATAAACTCTAATTCAGATGTTCTTCTCTTTTTAGACAGTTGTTTCTGTGCATTTTCTCTGGGAAAAGATCAATCAAACAGGGTGCTATTGAAAGGAATTGAAAGGTTTCAAGACAAAATAATATTTTTTAAAAAACACAAGTCAACGGTAGCTTTGAGCAATTATTGCAAGTGCTTGATATTACCAGAAATTCAATTCACTCCCAACAGCATCCGTATTGTTTGGGGAAATAATCTTCCTAGATTAGCTGGGGTCTGAGCCCGGCTTTATTTTCTGCTGCTGAGACAAACATGAGGCTATTTGCGATCCAACCTGTTCCATGTGTATCTCTTTTTAAACCAAACTTCCGTCTATTTAATGCCAGGAAAAAAAGGTGATCTCTTTGAGCCTTAGACTGACAAAGGATTATCCAAAAACATTAAGGCAGGGGATTTCTGAATACAAGACAGCAGCCGAGAACATGCTTTCTCAAACTTTTAAGAACTGCTGCTGCATGCGGTGCCTCAAAAGGGGTGTGTCGGGTGGACAGACTCTGGATGTGAAACCTTTTCCTCTCATAGTGGCTATTTTTGCACAATGCAAAGAAAAAAATATATATGCCAGGGAGATCATTTGTACTTAACCTTCAAATCATAAACAAAAGTTTTCTGCCAGTCTGTCCATTAGATGCAATTATAACATTAAATATTAAAGTAGGCTCCCTTTAGAGGAATCGACTGCTTTGGCAAGTGCATTTCGTGGCTATTAATGCACGGTGAGCTATAAATCTGGCCATTTTGCCTTCCCACCCCCCACAATGGATTGGAGAGGGTGAGCTTCCCTCTCGAGGGGCTAGGCACCAAGGAAAACTGTCCTGCAGGCATATTACTAGCCTTCTTTCATGGAATTGTAGGAGGGCTTGTGAGTGTTTGCAAAAAGGATTTCAGGACTGCAAAGCCTATTGTGCTCTACTAACCTGCATGGCAGACAGCTCCAGATGGCCTCTCCAAAAGGCACTTCCCCCAGGTAGATGTCTATGGGGTGGCGCGATGGGAAGCTCACGGTCCCGGGTGAGTTTAGGGATGGTCTTGGGTGGTTCTCGCTGGTGCTAACGGTGCCCCTTGCTTCCCCCCTGTCTCTGTGCCACCTAGACCATGCCGAGGCACTCCGCTTTCTCCCGCTTCCGGGCCCGCTACATGGGGGAGTCCTTCACCCTCCGCTACCTGAAGGTGCTGCGTGAGCTGCTGGCCTTCATCGTCTTCAGCTACACAGTGCTGCTGGGGGCCCTGGTCCTGGCCGCCTGGACCACCTACTTCCTGGTGGCCAAATAAATGAGCACCCGACCAGCTCAGTCCTTCACCTGCCGCTTTGCACACCCAGCCTAGACCCGCTCGTCGTGCCTTGTCGTTGGACCCCTCAGAATGCTGCTTCTTGCCTTTCAGAAACTTCTCAAGTTTCTTCTGTCACTGCCTGCTAAGCTGCTCTTTGAATGAGGTATTAGGAGCAAGTGCCGGGGTTTGAATGTGAGCGACAGAAAATGCAAAGGTTCTCTAAGCAACAAGGGCTCGGCCAGAGGATTAATTCGAGTGTTTGTTCTTGCTTTAATTGATGTCTTTTCTCTCTCAGTTCCATAGAAATGTAAAACATGGGGGTAGATCAGGCATGGGCAAACTTTCACCCTCCAGGTGTCTTGGACTTCAAATCCCACAATTCTCAACAGTCAGCAAGCTGTCTGGGATGGCTGGGAGTTGCAGTCCAAAACACCTGGAGGGTGGGTGAAGTCTGCCCATGCCTGAGGCAGATGGTTATGCTGTAACCTGTCTTGTTTTTGCCAGCATTGCTGATAACAATATTCTCTATGCTAGGCATTCTCTTAATAGAAACTGCTTGTTCTCAATGTTTACTGTCTCCTTTTCTTTTCTCTCTAAATTTTATGCTGTCCTCAAATTGCAAATGCCAAATTCACTGAGATTCAAACTCTGTACAATTGTTCTCTTTACAAAAAGATTAATAAAGACAGTCATATATCTTTCTAGCATTCAAATTGGATGTGTCTGCATTACATCTTTTCTAGTTCACAGGTGGTCTTTAAAAAGCTAAGAATTATCAGGTTTACAAAACAATATACAGCAGCGTTTCTCAACTTGGGGGTCGGGACCCCTTGGGGGGTCGTGAGGGGGTATCAGAGGGGTCTCCAAAGACCATCAGAAAACACAGTATTTTCTGTTGGTCATGGGGGTTCTGTGTGGGAAGTTTGGTCCAATTGGTGGGATTCAGAATGCTCTTTGATTATAGGTGAACTGCAAATCCCAGCAACTACAACTCCCAAATGTCAAGGTCTATTGTTCCCAAACTCCACCAGTATTCACATTTGGGCAAATTGAGTATCCGTGCCAAGTTTGGTCCAGATCCATTATTGTTTGAGTCCACAGTGCTCTCTGGATGTAGGTGAACTACATCTCCAAAACTCAAGATCAATGCCCATGAAACCTTTCCAGTATTTTCTGTTGGTCGTGTGTGTCAAGATTGGTTCAATTCCATCATCGGTGGAGTTCAGAATGCTCTTTGATTGAAGGTGAACTATAAATCCCAGCAACTACAACTCCCAAATGACAAAATCAATCCCCCCTCGAACCCCTACCAGTATTCAAATTTGGGTGTATTGGGTATTTGTGCCAAATTTAGTCCTGTGAATGAAGATCAGATATTTACATGATGATTCATAACAGTAGCAAAATGACAGTTATGAAGTAGCAACGAAAATAATGTTAGGGCTGTGGGTCATCACAACATGGGGAAATGGATTAAGGGGTCGCAGCATGAGGAAGGTTGAGAACCACTGATATACAGCAAACACTTGTTAAACTTGTGGAAAAAACTGATATTAGCTGTACAGTTATTGTACATATCCTCTTTATTCTTTTGTCATTTTTTTCTTTTCTTTTCTCTCCCCCCCCCCTTTTCTTTTTTTATCTTTTCTTTTTCTGATTGTCTGTTCTGTTTCTTATATACACAATAAAACAAATAAAAATTACATATATAAAAAGCTAAAAATGCACCACACCCCCTTTCACATGCACCACACCCCCCTTTCTCTTAAAGAGGAGAGGAGCAGAATTGAGATGTGTGGGGTGCTTTGAAAAGCTCCTGTGCCCTAGGTGTTTCACATAAGCAATCGAGCAACATTGAATCGCCATGATGTTGTGGATTTTATTTCATTTCCTGATTTAAATTCTCTGGCATAAAACTAAAGAATTGACACCCCCCCCCCCCCCCCCCCCCCCCCCCACACACACACACACACACAAAGGGCACCAGGCTTGGAAAAAAGCAGGATGTGACCATTTCCTATTTATTATCAACCATTTATTATTATCAATAGTGTCTGCTCAGATCTTTTCAGTCAACTCTGCTCACTATGGATGCAATAACAGAAAATGAGTATTTCAAGGAAGACTTTTTAAAGTCCCTCAACATTTCTGTTTTTATCACTCAGGTCCCTTCCACACAGCTCAATATCATCCCACATTATCTGCTTTGAACTGGGATATATAGCAGTGTGGACTCAGATATTCCAGTTCAAAGCAGATATTCTGGGTTATATGGCTGTGTGGAAGGGCCCTAAGTTTTAAAAATGGAAATGTTCAGGAACTTTCAACAAACTGACTCTTCAAAAAGGCTGGCTCTGATCTAGCTTGGTTATCAGACATATTACATAGCCCTCCGTGCAAGCAAATGGGATCATTTGTGCAAATCAGAGGCTACAATGCAGCCCACAGTATAATACATACTACAAGCACTTACACTGAGGGCCCTTCCATACTGCCATATAACCCAGAATCTCAAGGCAGGAAATCCCACAATATCTGCTTTGAACTGGAATATATGGCAGTGTGGACTCAGATAACCCAGTTCAAAGCAGATATTGTGGGATTTCCTGCCTTAGGGGTTATATGGCTGCGTGGAAGTGCCCCGAGAGGTAACTCAGATCTAAAAAATGAACTTCTTGTAGCTCAGTCTCCTCCACACTATACACAAAGTTTCTTAGGTGCATTCTACTGCCAAATAGAGTTTGCAAAGGGATTTCAGCAAGTTTTAAAGGAGGGAATTGTGTGGCTCCCTAGGTTTGGTTGAACTACACCATCCATTGGCCCCAGTCACTAGTGAGGGATGATGGGGACTGTAGTCCATCAATACCTGGAGAACACAACACCAGCCATCCCTCCTTCCTGCTCTGGGGCTTAGGCCACATGGACACAGCCATATAGAATCATATAATAATAATCATCATCATCTTTATGTACATCTCACACAATTTCCCCAGAGGGATTCGGGCAGCTCACAAAACCACTCAATAGTGCAACAACACACAAAATACAACCAAGTACATGAGCATAGAATAATAAAATAAAAGAGTTGGAAGAGACCAAATGGGTCATCTAGTCCAACTCCCTTCTGCCATGCAGGAAAAGCACAAAGTACTCCTGACAGATGGCCATCCAGCCTCTGTTTAAAAGCCTCTACCACACTCCGAAGCAGAGAGTTCTTCCTAATGTTCAGGTGGAATCTCCTTTCCTGCCGTTTGAACCCATGGCTCCATTGAGTCCTCGTCTCCAGGGCAGCAGAAAACAAGGCCTGCTCCCTCTTCTTTAGGACAGCCTTTCAGATATTGATACCTGGCTCTCATGTCTCCTCTCAAGCTTTTTAAAATCCAGTTCATACTGCATTATAATGGCAGTGTAGATTGGGCCTTACTGTGGAATACACGTTGCCCTCTTAAAAGAGCCCATGACCGCTGGGATCCTCACACCCTTGGAACTAATGGTGCTCTCAGGCGCCTGTCTAATGCCTTTCAGTGAAGCAGACTGTTCCAGACTTTGGCTGCTCATTCTTAATGGAAGGTGACAAAATTTAGAGAAACATGTGAAATCCATGGGGTCACCATGACAGGCAACTCGAAGGCCCATATACCCACACAAACAGAGGGGGGAATAATGCTTTTGTATCATTGACACAAAGGTAAAATGGGCCTTGAGGTTGAGGGAAAGGAGGGGTTCTTTGGGTTTTCAAGTATAATGTGCACACCCTGCACCTTTCTTCTCATTATTTTCTTCACACCTACCTTCCATCTCTCCCAATTCTTTTTTCAAACATATTGCAATTTAATTTTACTTAGTTTTATTTTATCAGTACAGTCTGTCATTTTCGAGACTCCAATCCATAAAATGCAATACAATCTCACAATAAGGGCAACACAACCTGATTTCAGGTCATAGAACAGCACCCACTGCCCTGTCTGAAACCAGGATGGTGCTCAGAAGTGGCTGAAATTGCTAGTCCAGTTTCTTTTCCTTTTAACCTAGACTTAGGGTGCATCTACACTGTCGAATTAATACAGTCTGACCCCCTTTAAGTGACCTGACTATGGCATTTTGGGAGTTGTAGTTGGTTAGATCTTATAAAACATTTTCCTCTAGCTCATTTCATGCCATAATAGCCAGTTTCTTTCCCCGCATTTACCCTTTAATTCCCAAGATTCCAAGAGGATAAAAGAATGGGGAAAAAAAGACAAGGAACAGACTTAGACCAAATTTTAAAATGGACATTTGAGAAGGAGAAATATAATAATAATAATAATAATAATAATAATAATAATAATAATAATACTTTATTTGTCCCCTGCCGCCATCTCCCCAAAGGGACTCTCAAGGTGCCACACATAAAATAGAATTACATATCAACAAAACAATACACAGTTTGACTGAATACAAACAATGGACAACGTCAACCGATAAAATAATAATAAAAAAATCTAAAACACTGTCATTTCTGTGGTCATTGGATTTTTTCAAACACGAGCTAAAGTGCCGAATAGCAATGGTTGTCATCACCACATGACCACAGTGCATTACTCCAGGTCAAAGGCCCATATAGAGAAGGCCCTCTCTCTCGTCCCAACCAACTGCATCTGTGATGGGGGTGGGACCAAGAGAAGGACCTCCCCAGTAGATCCTAATGCCCACACTGGTTCATAAAAGGAGATGAGATCTCGAAGATAGGTTGGACCCAAAGCATATAGGGCTTTGACTTGGGCCAGGAAACCTGTTGGGAGCCAGTGGAGCTGCTTCAATAGGGGCATGGTATGCTCCCTATTAGCTAGCCCCAGTTAGTAATCTGGCAGACTACTAACGGGCTAAGAATTGGGGGATATATGTATAGAAAATAATTGGAAAAAATACAACATGAAACACACTTTGATCGAGATATGGAAAGATGAATTAAACTGTAAGGAGAATTAGACTGAGAATTGGATAAGGGCAATGAAGGAAATTAAACACTTAAGGATTAAGGAAACACTATGTAAAATATTGACAAAATGGTATCAAACCCCACACAAACTGGCCACATTACAAAAAAAAAATCAAAACTTTGTTGGCAAAAATGAGGGAGAATGGGAGGGTTTATTAATATGTGGTGAGACTGAAAAGTTACAAAACTTCTACATAAAGGTTAAGGATGAGATTGAAGAATTATTAGGGAGAAAAACTGAATTAAACAAAAAACAATTCTTTACCCAACAAATTAAAGGTAATGGAATGGGAAAAGGAAAAATGAGAGAGGAACTGAGAGGAATAAATATTTCATGGCTCCACTGGATTCAACTGGAAAAATGTAATAAAAATTGGTGGGTCCAAAATAGAACCGGAAAACAAATAACGCAATTTGAGGAAATAAGACTGAAAGGATTAAAAAGAGAAAATAACGAACAATTAAACGGAGCAACAAGTAAAATATCTATACACATAATAAAAGTGAAAATATGTATGTGTGTGTGGCTGGGATGTCCACTTACACAGACAAGCTCCTGCCTCCACTAACAGCTCTAGCTCCCACTGCTCAGAAGACAACAACGGCCCTCCCCTCAATGACATTGCAGTTTATGCGCCATGAACATGTTCAAGAGCCCTGCCAATCAATGTCCTCCACCAACACCATATTGCCCACCACCCAAGTTAAGGCTTTCATAAGGGGACCATTTCATCC